TGACACAATGGAAAATGTAGGTGATAAAATGAAGGCGCACATGTTACGCGAACAATTTAATTTTCCACGGCATTCCACAGAGTGGTTTGGAAACATGGGAACAGACGGAAGAGTTACTATGTGGATTTATTACTGATAAAATGGATATTGATGGTTCACAGATAGAATTTCAGATTGTTCACCGTTTAACTTATGCCCGTAGCCGACCACAACCAATAATAGGCAAGTTTCTTAGGTATAAACAGAGGGATGAAGTTCTACGTGCTGCTGAGAAATTAAAAGGGACAGAATTCCGTATTCGCGAGGACTTCACTCCTAAAATCAGAGATCTACGCCGAAAATTAGGTAAATTTGTGGTGGATGCAAGAGCAGAAGGTAAAACAGTTAAAGTTTTGTACGATAAAATTAAAATCGATGACACTGTGTATATTTATGACGAGGTAATGAAGAACATTAAACCACTGCGTAGCCTGAATTATTCGTCGCCATTGCTACCATAGGAAGGAGGTCAAAGCTCAAGTTTTGAAAATGCAGTTGCTAGGTGTGAAACCACAGATTTCAAATTTTTATTTTGGAATATCAATGGTTTATACGGAAAACTATTAGACACTGATTTTTTGAACTATGTTAAGTCTTTTGATTTTGTGTGTCTTCTCGAAACATGGGTTGATTCACAATTTGATTTTCAAATTGAAGGGTTTAAAACCATACATAATGCTGGTGTAAAGAAAAAGAAATTCGGGAGGGCCTCGGGGGAATATCCATTCTATTTAATCAAAATAACATTGCTCAATTTGATATTGAATATATATATAAAGATAGTTATTCAGTATGGTCTCTAATTAAACATAAGGAAAGCCCAGTGTTAATAGTGGCAAGTGTGTATAGGCCTCCTGAAGGTTCTAACTTTATAAACCCATATTTCTTTGATCAGTTAGAAAATAATTTGGTTACTTTTTCCACTAAATATGATTGTAAGGTAATAATTGGGGGAGATTTTAATGGTCGTACGGGTACTAAAAGTGATAGTTTTGATTGTAATGTGAACCACTTACCTATGGGTGATGTGTTTACTACTATTAATGATATTCCACAAAGGGAATCTATGGATAATAGTGTAATATATATGGTTTAGAGTTATTGGAATTTTTAAAAGTACCAACTTTAAGATTGTGGATGGAAGACTCTTTAAACAAACAGGGAGTGGAAATTTTACTTATGTTTCAGGTATAGGCACTAGTGTAGTTGATTATATTTTAACAAGCCCAAATAATCTCTCAAATTTTACGGGTTTTTCCATTGGTAATATAATTGAATTAGACCATCTATCACTTGAACTTACCATGATGCTGTCTTTAAGCATGAAAATAGTACTATTGATACTGTCCATCATAATACTGAGAATCTGAACAAACTAAAATGAGATACTAAAAAAGCAAATGTTTAAAGAAATAAGTTTAATTCCGAGGGCATTAGAAATCTAAGTCACGAGTTTTACGAGAATGTGATAGACGGAAATATAGATGACGCAGCTACTAATTTAACTAATATTATTTATACTTGTGGAAAAGATATGGTGTGCAAGTCCAAACAGTTAAATGAGTGTTTTCGAAATTTTTGGTTTGATAAAGAATGTTTAGTCATCAAACGTGCAGTCAGTAAAGCGCTTAATCATTATAGACATACAAAAAGTCAGAACAGTCTTGAATATTACCTTCTATCTAAACAATCCTATCAAAAACTCATTAAAGAGAAAAAAGCAGAATTTCAATAGTTGAGAAGGGATGAACTAATTAGCCTGTACAAACAGAAAAACTCTCATAAATTTTGGCAGAAACTTAAGCAACATAAAATTAATGTGTCAGAAAATATTACTATGGAGGAATGGTCACATTATTTCACTAATTTGTTTACCCCGGTTCTTGTGGAAATGAAAATTACAATGATTTTTACGCTTCAATCGAAGATTATATGACTGATTTAGATATAGAGAATATTGGTATACCTGATGTAGATTTGGAATTAGCAGAATTTAACCAACCAATTACTAGGACAGAGGTGAAGAAAAATTTGGATAAACTGAAGGCTAATAAATCACCTGGCCCAGATGGAATTCCTTCTGAGTTTTGGAAATTTGCACCTTTAGACATCTGTGATCTGTTGTACAGTCTATATAACAAAGTTTTTGATCAAGGGGTGTTTCCTATAGAATGGAGCATGGGATTAATTTCCCCAGTGTACAATGAGGATTGCAGGGATGACCCAGCAAACTATCAAAGTATAATGCTTTTGAATACTATAAGTAAAGTATACACAAGTATTCTCAGTGATAGGTTAAGTTATTGGTTGAATCGATATAATAAAATAATTGAGGAACAAAGTGGATTTCAAATAGGTAAATCAACTTTGAATAATATTTTTGTTCTCTATACCCTTGTAGAAAAATATTTGTACTCTTGGGGTTAGCTTCTATTGTGTCTTTATTGATTATGAAAAAGTATTTGATAGAGTACACCATTGTTCATTATTTTATAAGTTGTCAAAAATTGGGATTAAGGGGAAACTGTTTAAATCACTTTATTCCATGTATCAAAATATTAAGGCTGCTGTGAAAAACCCAAAGGGAGTTACTGAATTTTTCCATATTAATGTTGGGCTGCAGCAAGGTTCTGTTATATCACCTTTACTGTTTTGCTTTTACATAAATGACCGTAAGAGTGCCCTCCAACAAGGACAGGAATCAGTTGTGTATATAAATAATTTAAAACTTTTTTATTTGTTATATGCGGATGATTTGGTGTTGTTCAGCAGCACACCTGTTGGATTACAAAGATTACTTAATAACTTAGTGGATTATTGTCTAAAATGGAGACTGAATATTAATCTGAAAAAATTAAAAATACTTGTTTTCCGAAAACGGGGTCGTCTGAAAAAAATATGAAAAATGGTTTCTGAGGGGTAAAGAAATTGAAATTGTAGCAAATATACTTATTTAGCATAGTTTTTTCGAGTTCGGGGAAATGGTTTCAAACACAGAAAGATATCTCGGAGCGAGCTAATAAAGCACTATTTTGTTTGGAAAAAAACATTATGGGGTTGGGGGACTGCAGCCTGATCTTGCATGCAAAGTATTTGACTGTAAAATATTGCCAATTTTGTTATATGGTAGTTGTGTGTGTGGAATGCGGGGTGTAATAGCTGACATAGAAAAAGTACAAAATAAGTTTTGTAAATTTCTATTGAGAGTTAGTTTCAACGCTTCCAATGCTGCAGTAAGGGGTGAATTAGGAAGACACTCAGTTAGAGTTTATGTTAATATTGAAATGGTAAGATTTTGGCTGAAACTGATTCAAGAGGGCGGCTCAGCTATTTTAAAGGAATGTTATAATTATCTATACAATAGGGCAGAAGGGGGGTCTAGGTGTTGGGCTTTAGAGGTAAAAAATATGTTATATACATCTGGTTATGGACATGTATGGTATGAACAAAGAATTGATAATAGCGAGATGTTCTTCAGTGAATTTAAAAGAAGATATATTTGATATATCTAGACAGAATTGGTGTGCAGAAATTAATACAAATGTAAAGCTTCAAACGTATTGCATGTTTAAACAAGATTTAATATGTGAAAGATATCTTGATGCTATTTCGTTGGCTACTCCTATCTATTCATGTGCTATAACTAGACTTAGAATTTCCTGTCATCCCCTAGAAATTGAAAATGGTAGAACATTGCGTATTCCACGTGACCAAAAGTTATGTTCATTTGGGTTGTAGGGTCACAGAGGACGATACCATTTTACTATGGTTTGTCCAAAATATGAAGCACTTAGACAAAAATTCTTACCAAAATATTATTTTTCACCACCAACCAAGATGAAATTCATTGCATTGCTACAGAGTACTAACTCGTATATTTTACTAAGTTTGGGTAAATATTTGTTTAAGAGTTTTCATTACAGAGAAACTGAAATGGAAGTATGATTTGAAGTATATGTATCTTGTAATTGTAAAGCGACCGTGTGTAATTTAAGTTTTGAAATGTAACAGTACTTTAGGCCGGTGGCCATATAGTGCGGAATAAAGAAAATAAATAAAAAATAAATAAAAATATTTTCACTTTGTTTGGCCTATAGGTGGCGCTCTTTTCAAAGCATGTTACACTACTGTTATTGAAGAAGAACCGTAGTTACATTAATCACATACATGTATAATACTAATACCAATATTGACATCCCAAAGTTAGCTATTCTAGTTGATTTGTTTAGCCCCTATTAGTGCCCATCAGCCCATGTACATTATTACGTATGAAGTTACAAAGTTTCATACGTCCCTTTGCGTAAAAACTGACAAA